ACAATGGGTGGTTCTATTGGCAATGCTGATACCGATACTTGGAAACCTTATACTAATGCCACCTGAGAGGAACATGCAAAGTTAGTAAAAGCGTACATTTCTTCACTGCCAACTACACTAAAGGAGACACGACATAGCAAGATGTTAGAGTATATGGCAGAAAATGGCATACGTCAACTGGGTCCCCCTCGTATTGGTGTATTTGCCGAAAGACAACGCCCTGAACCTCTGCATTGTGAGATAAACGCATGGCAGCAAGTTTTGAACATTATATACTTAGAATCTGTGCAAAGGGACAAATTTCATGATTTTATTGAAGTTTTAGGTGCTCCAGTCTCTACTAAAAGTTCCGCAGCTGATGCTTCACAGACTGAAACTGGTGAATCCCTAACTAGTGAAACGAGTACAAGTAATCCAGTAAGCCAGTCACAAACAATTGGTTGCGGCTTGAGATTCCTGGTAAGCAAAGTCAAAGAGCATCATGATGATAAGAATAGGAGACACAATAAGATTCGTACCAGACTTATTGGGCGCCAGGCCACTGCTTTAGCACTCTATGCATATCGCTTAGTAGATGCTTTGCAGTTTCCTAACGAAACACCTCTGCATTCTTTAAAACGGCTGGCATTGGGTAGAATGGTTTATTACCTGAGGAATGCCTGTGCTATATTCAATAAGCTGTCTGCCACACCTGCAGACCTGGTGGAACTTGAGGACAATTGTAAGTTATTTTTCCATTTGATGTGCTTATTCTACCCCACGTCTGTGAATGTCACCACATGGACAGTTGGATACGCAATTCCATACCACGCTACCAAGTTGTATGATATGTATAAAGTTGGATATGGCACAATTTCCCTGCAGGCTAAAGAAGCCAAACATGCTGCTGTAAAGAAGGACTTGGCATTGACAAACAGATCGAACAGCACAGATACTAAAGGGAAATGGTGGCAGCTTCTAAGAGCTAACTATGTGCGCAGCTTTTATCTACCTGAGAACCAGCCCATGCCAACTACCTACAAATCACATTATCAGTCTCGTGTTCCATCACACTGTGACCAGCCAGGATTTTGTAATTGTGGCAGGAAGATAGAAAACAATGTTTTTTGTCATGATTGCCTATCGAGTAGGGAGATTGTGACATGTGCCCAAAACCAAGAACTTTCTCAGGAGCTGATTATCCTTTTGAAACCGGTGTATTGTGAAATTTGTGGTGAGCGTTTTGCTGACAAGTCTATTTTGGATCCCCATTTAGTTAGGGATTCACAACAGTGACACTGGTCCAGTTGAATGCAGTAGGAAGAATCCAAAGCAGATGAGTGTGAAAGAACTTAAGGAAGAACTGTGTAAATTAAATTTAAGTTTGTTGGGCCGAAAGGATATTTTAATAAAGAGATTAGAGAGCAGATTAGCTGGAGGATGCTAGAAAGAGGGCATAAGAGAGAGTATATAAGAAAGCATAGCAACATAACTTAGTATGAATAAATCTGTCTAATTGCAGTGAAATATACTGTACATAGTTTCAAAACAGTGTAGTTTTAAGCTTTTTAAATTTAGGTTGCATTCAGGTTTATAATTGTTGTTATATACAAATAATACAAATTTCACAATCTTCTATTTGTGTATAACCTAGTACCTGTAACTCTTCAAATTTGACAATTTTTTATTGCTAGTTATTTTTTACTTACTTTTTTGACTAATTAGATGTTTGGTAAAATTTATATTTTGACAGAGAATTTTCTAAAAGATATTTTTTCATCGAATTAAACAGTGTCAGGTACTGGTTCATGTTGTCAAGCATTCCAAAAATATGTCACTTGTTGCATTACATTGTTTCACAAAAAATGATGTTCAGCGTATACCATATTTTTCACTCACTTCACAGTTGCCTTGGAGATTAATTTCATATTTAATGAGCCTTAGAATAGTGTTTTACACCCTGCTTTCTGGCTGGTTATACCCATGTGTTTTGTGCACAAATATGATTGGATAAATCATGTTACTGGTTAGGTTTGGGTGAGAATCAGAGAGAAATCACTTTGTGTGCAAAACATAAACAGAACATAAAACATTTAACATTCTGGCTTCACAACTGATCAGTATGCATGTCTCTGAGTGTCAGTTTGCTTAAGATTTAGAAAAGCCCTACCAAAAACAAATAATATTCAAATGTTAACTTTGTTACTGACTGTTCATCAATGACTGTAGGTGCCCATCAATAGCATAGTCATCCACTGAGTATCGTTGGATATAAAATGTTATTGTAGCACGTTGAGATTTCATGGTGTAGTCAATGCAAAATGGTGTTAATTCAGACACAACAATGGTAGACCTGCCATTGTAGACAGATATCATCTTTTTAGATTCTGGGCACTTTGCTTTCTTAAAATGCCTGTATGCAAAGAACACTTCGCCAGAAAATCTTGCTGGTGAAAACAACTTTTTCATTGTGTCCATTTTTTGAATAGAGACATAATGTTTTGAACTCTTGTTGTTTGTATGGACATCACCAGAATACCCACGCACGAGGACGATAATGTGGCGAAACACGGCCCAAGGGATAAACAATATTACTGGATTTACCAAACCAGTGGCTTTTGATTTGAATAGCCGGCTTTTTAAGGAGCTACCTATTTCCTTTAAATAGATGTCGAGCAGAGGACCAACTAACTCAAGCTTGTTTCCAACCACTTCCTCAAGTTGGGAATCCATATTCGACATTCCATAATTTGGCTTTCGCCTTGCTTTTCGGACGGATTTTATCCATTGGCGTTCCACTGAAAACTTCATGGACACAACAGAGCTATTCCAAAACCCATCTTCGCGTTCAGTTGCAGAACTAGATGCGCGCAAATCAAGAACTTCACCTCCGGTTTCTGGATCAATATTTTCGGAAGACGCCATCTTGTTTATGAAACTTTCGCAAGTACTTCATCTTCTAAGAATATAATTGATCTATCACGCGAATAACTGCTGAAAAAACGAGCCCGCACGAGTGGGAGAAATTTCTTGCAGGATAACCAACGTGTCAACCTGAATGTTAACAACTAGAAATTACTATCGCAAGGGGAGTGCTGCCAGGCGCAAAAAGCATTTTGTACAAACAACGATCGGTGATTACTTTAGCACAGACACGGTTATGAACATGCTGAATTTCATCCTGTTATTTGCCTTTTGGTTGCTTTTTTCTCCTGTTGTATGTAAAGTAGATGAGTTATGAATGTCTTTTATAATTTGCTTCAATGAGCAACCATAATGTTTTGTGCTTGCATATGTTCAATATCACATGCGTCAAGATGAGAAATTTGTCAAAAAGTATTTGACCGTGCAAAAGCAGCCTTAATCAAGTCAACTAGACCAGCAAGCATTATAAAAACAATTCAACATGAATCATGTTGAATTGTTTTTATTTACATGATTGCTCTGATGGAGGCTTGCAGTTTACAGCCGATCCGAAATTTAAGTTGTATTTAAAGAATTTTACCGCTTTAAACTTGGAATGTTTTTAACTAGATCAGTTTCAAAACTTAAATATTTTATCATGTACTCTACTGGTCACCAGAATAGCATAATAGCAGCATATACATATATTCAATTTATTTTCAAGTGGGATTTGTTTAGAGGTTGCTTCAACATTTAACCTTTGGCAGATAGCTGTTTGTCATCAAGCTTCAAGTTGTATCCTGCTTGGAATTAAATTGGATTATATATAGAATTCAGATTTTGTTCTTTAGTTCTTGTTGTTTTAGCTGGGGTAGAAAATAATTTGTACTATAGAAAAAAACAGTTTCAAGTGGGATTTGTTAAGAGGTTTTTTACTTTTATTTTAACAACAATCATTGGCAGATAACTGTTTGTCATCAGTAATAATTGAATTATATAGAATTCAGATTTTCTTCTTTTAGTTCAGGTTGTTTTACTTGGGGTATAAAATAATTTGTGTTGTTGAAATATAGCTGTGCTGTTTTCAATACAAACTGAAATACATGTTTACTTTTTATTTTTTATTATGTCCACACTATGGTTGACTCCATGGGACCAATCCTGCGGTCATTTGTGTAAAACTCTTAACTTCTAAATTGTAGTGAACTCCAAAATTCACAATTCTTTTTAGCTAATTTCTTTCCTAACTATACTTATACATAACTGTTCTTTATAACACTTGCTCCGACTCTACCTTTCTGATGTTAAACAAAGTAACAGAGTAGACAAAAGTAGCTATAGTATATTAAATTGTTACCATTGATTGAAAATCGAAACAACACATGCTAAGCACTTTTGCAACATGTTATCAAATTAAAATAAAATTATATTTGGTACTATATGCACACACAAAAGGATGAAACCATATAGAAATTATTACAAGCAATGGATTCCAAATGTGGTATGCCTCAAACAAATTATTAGTGAAAAACATGTAATGTCTCCGAATAATTTTATACCTCTGCCCTGATGTACAACTGAAACATTTTCATTGTTGCTAATAATTTTATTTTGTACAGGCTATATCACAATCATTGTCCACAGAGAAAGATAATAGATCAACACCTGGGTCTAGAACAATTAAGCCACTATTTAGACCTGTTAATTACATTATTTTAGTTGCAGTAAGATATTCAAAGTTGTTTTTGATCAATCTACACATTTCTTTTTAGCTAATTTCTTTCATAACTATACTTATACATAACTGTTCTTTATACCACTGGCTCCAGCTCTACCTTTCTGATGTTAAAGTGCATATGTCAAAATTACCATTTTTTCCCCAAAAATCGGCCGTGTCGAGACAATTCGAATGATATATACCTTTTTTAAAACGGATAAATACTTCCAGATTTATTTTACATCAAACATGTCAAAAAATAGGGTTTTTTGAAACCGGGCCGGGAGAAAAGAGTCTGAGTACGAACAGCAGGCGATGACGTCAAATCGGGAACCGCATAAACTCATATTTCATACAACACGCTGTTTTGCTATATCAAACTGTAGTAATCGCCGACGAAATGCCTTCTCGCTGTGTTGTATATGGTTGTTCGAATATTCCGGATCCTGCAAATAGTATTATACTTCACAAAATACCTTACGATGGAGATTTAAGGTCAGAAGCTATTAAGAGACGAAAGGTCTGGGTAGATTTCGTGAAGCGCAAACGCGCAAAATGGGAGCCTAGCAGTTCAAGCTGTGTATGCTCTAAGCATTTTAAGGCAGGCGATTTTCAAAGAATATTGAATCTAGCTGGACAACAGGAGACGTATAGACCAGTGCTTAAAAGAGATGACATAGGGATTACATCATTTCCATCGGTATATACTACAAATGAGACCGAAAAACAGCTTTCAGACAGGGCAGCCAGAGCAATCAAACGCAAGGTGAGAAACAATGAAACCTTTGTTTAGTTTCGCAGTACGCACTTCAATACTAACTTATTCTCGCATTTTTTTCAGTTTAGTACAGCTGAGAATGAACCAAGTACCTCGGAAGAACTACAACCAGGTTGTTCATCTGACTTTGTCGAGCCTGAAGCAGAAATGGACCTAGACATGCCAAGTGTCGAATGTCATGTAAGTATAAATTTGCATTTGTTTGCGTCAAAGTCAATTTGAAAGCGTTGAGGCTCTATTAAATTATGTAATAAATGGAATACTTTCACAAGGTAGTTCTGGGGGGATTGGTATTTTTATATCTTTATTAAATGTTGAAATTTTTATAGGACATCCAGCAGTCGGAAACAACAAACGAAAAGTTCACTCAAACAGTGCTTAGTGCGGAAGTGTGCAAATGCTGTCTTGAATTAGAAGAGAGGAACAGACTTCTTCGGAACCAAGTAATAGACGGGAAACAGAAATTAGCAAAAGAAAGGTCTATCGTAATGGATTTAAAATCCAGTAAGGGGTTTCGTATTATTCGTTTTTAGGGCTAATTACATTAGACATTAAAAATTGATAAATACATACAGTCATACACATACAAGCATATATCGTGTTACATGAGCAATTTGTCTTCAAGGCTCAAATGCAAATACACACTATTAACTTATTAAATACATATAAATACTAGCAGGGTAATCAATATTGGAAGAATTTACGTTATTTCCTTTGTATAAACAGCTGTAATAGTTTAGTTTAGCTACAGTGTTAGCCAAAGCCCAAAGGAAATGGCTTTATTTTCAATAATTAATTTATATATACCCAGTTGAGATTCCACATATTAGTACATACGAAAATGAATATGAATTTATTTTTATGGCTCATCTGAGTGAGTAATACAATTGTATTTGGTACTTGACAGATTTGCAAATTCCAGTGGAGAATGTACCACAATCTAGTGACACTGAAGTAGCTCCAACAGAAGATATCAGTAGTGAGACTAGTGAAGAGTTATTACCAACTGACCCAAATACTGCATCAGATGATACTGATACAACTCAGTGGGATAATTTGACTGAGACAGAGACAGAGGACTCTGATGAAAGTGATGATTATGAACCAAAAAGGTAATAGTTTGTCAAATGAGACACCAAATCTACTACAAAGAACCGTTTACAACTACATAGCCTGGCATCCTATTTATATGTAAGGTTTTAACCATTTATGTATAAAACTATTTCTGAACTTTTAGAGAATATACCAAAGATGACAATCTAAGGACAGAGCCGAAGTTTATCGTATTCTTGTCGCAGCTGATGCTACTTTTTCAGTTCTGCCCATCCTGTAAAAGTGGCAATCCTCTTGTTGAGACCAGTAAGCATGGGACAAAGGTTGTTGTCCACACTTACTGTGGAAATTCCAACTGTAAGCAGAGGAATTCTGTGTGGCACAGTCAACCTAATATGGAGGGAACCAAAATCGCAGCTGGAAATTTTCTTTTAAGTTTTGCGATTTTAGTGGCTGGTGCATCAATCAGTAAAGTTCAGCGTGTCTTTACTCACATGGGTATGGCGTGCATTTCGCTGAGCACTTTCTTTAGGCACCAGAAGGTGAGTTCCAAGAACTAACTGGATTCACTATCTAGTTCAATTCTGAACAGTTGACCCTATGTGAGATATAAGTGAATAAAATTTTGAACAGACTTGATGAATTAATTTATCTATGAGTGTCAACAAATTAATACAATGTCAAACAACATCTAATAGATTTCAGCAATATTATTTTTTTAAATCAGCCAATATTGCATTTATTATGCACAACATTACTTTTCTCTTGCATTTTTTGTTGATTTCCATTGTTTTATTTGTAGACACACTCATAGATAAATCCTCATTCCTAATGAATCAATAACAATAATGTCTTGTATGTTTTGTAAACATTTCTAGAATATTTCCAGCCATTTCATTGCACTGGAAGAAGTACCAAGGGCAGCTGATCAACAAACTGCAAGAAAACAAAGACCCACTGACTATAGCAGGAGATGGAAGGCATGATAGCATGGGACACAGTGCAAAGTATTGTGCTTATACAATATTCTGCTGTACATCCCAATGTATATTGCACTTCTCATTAGTTCAGGTTTGAAAAATATTTATTGATTTCATGCTTTATTTCATAACCTAGTTTACTCTTTTACATCTCAACATTTAATAGAGGAATGAAGCAGGAAGTAGTCAGGCAATGGAGTACCTTGCATTCCAGCATTGTATGGAATATGTGAACAGTTGTGGAATATCATACGACACACTTGTTACTGACCGCCATACATCCATAGCCAAACATATGAGGGAAAAGCTGAAAGAAGTGAAGCATTACTTTGATCTTTGGCACTTGAGGAAAAGTATGTTTTTATATGAATACATCTATTTTCATGTATGTATTAGTATGTGTATGAATGTCCAAAGGGTGGATATACATTACTCAAATATTGTTGTAACAATAAAAAATCTGTGATGTCTTTATTTAAATTTTTAGAAATTGGAAAAGTGCTATCAAAAATTGCAAAGGAGACTGACAGTGAAGAAGTTCAACCCTGGATACGTCCTTGTCAAAACCATCTGTCCTGGAGTGCTACTTCTACTTCGTCTGGTGACGGGAGGGTTATTTTGGCCAAATTCATGTCATTTCTTGGTCATATTGTAAACAAACATGAAAACCTTGATGACCCTATCTTTGACAAGTGCGCTCATGGTGTCATTCAAAATCGAGAGTGGCTTAATGAAAGTATGTAATTTTCATTGGTTTTCCCCTTGATGTTCACCACAGATGTCTTAGCATTGTGAGAACAAAGACCACATGGAATTTGATGTGACCAGATTAAATTCAAAGTAATTAAATGTGATTTTTCTTCATACATATTAGATTCTGTTGTATATGAGAAGGTGCGTAAAGCATTGTCACACAAGAGGTTAAAGAAAGGAATCCAGAAAGCATCTCCCTTGTCTCAAACAAGCTGCCTTGAGGGGTTCCACTCGGTGCTAAACCAGTTTGCTCCTAAAATGATTGCTTATACCTATCCTGGCATGTATATTAGGTACTAATTAAATCATATAATGCAATACAACTAAATCTTTCTGAGTACCTACATATATAGCAAGTGTACTTTCTAATTAATAAACATGGAAACTTTTTTTATTTAGGCACATAATTGCAGCAATTCACTTCAACTATAACCTTAACAGAAAGGTTGTAAAGAATTCAGATGGTTCAGAACAGCATGTGGTGGTGTACCCAAAATTCAAAAATGGGGAAGCTACTGTCAGAGATGTTAAAGTTGCTGCAAACTTTTGTAAGTCTGTGGGCCTTGTGGTCATATGTCATTAGGCATTTATGACGGTATTCATGATGTAATTAGTTTGCTACTCCTTGAAAATCAGTGGTATTGTGAACAACAGTATATCTGGTACTTCACAAGCTTTGTAACAGTTTGTTAGGGCTTTGGATGTATAGATTTCAGATAATTTTATATTAATAATAAACAGATAAATTGAATTCAATGAAAGGGTTAATAATTGTATTCTTATCATTGTTTTAGGCTATGTTCAAGAGATCTATGAAACCTTCCTGGAAGCACAAAGAGAAGGCACCTCAAGAAAGAACATGATAAATTAAAGAAGATGACCCCTGAACCAATGAATGTCATGCTGAATAAGCAACCACGAGATGAGGCCATCAAGAAGCGAAGTGATAGGAGAGCTATGGTTGTGAAAGAAGTCCCTCCAACAGCAGCAGGTGTGATAAATCAACATATGTATTGTATCATTAGTAAACAAAATTATATCATTTTTATTCTAATTTAATGTGTCTCTCAATTATTTAGTATCGCAAGTTGATGAGGCAACCACAACAAGACCAACTCAAAGGGCAAAACCTCATTGCAGTTTGTGCCACCAGCCCATGAAAGGTCATAAAAATGTTTTAGATTGCCCAAGGAACAAACAGACCTCAAACTAATCATTTTAAATAAATATTACAAACTTCAAACATATTGCAGTATCTGTCCACTTTTGTCTCTTTGGGGCCATGCATTACTTACACCCCAAGGTTGGTCATGACATTCTTGATCATATAACAAAATGTCAAGCCACCTCCACCCCATTCTCCCCTCCCAAACAGAGTCATGCAAAAGCAAGAAATAACTCCATAGTAAAAAATTTAATAAAAAATGAACTTTAATTCATGATAATTGTTTATTAGTCTGATATATCTTCATCAAATCCAGTAAATGCTTCATCATGTGTTAGAAATTTTGTGCGAATTGCATTATATGCACAAGCTGGTAAGGGTATTCGCAGTCGACCCAGTATTCCATAAACAAGCTGAGAAAATTCTCTGTATGCTATTGACCGCAAGTATCTATATCAAAATAACAATAATTATATTAGCATACTAGAATAGATTTTATACAATAGTTCAAAAGTTGCATTTTTGAAATTAAATGTGTGCACTGTAAACTCAAAAACAAACATAACTTTGCCATGCCACATAATACTCATATATATGTGCAAATATAAAAAAACAAATATAATTTTTCGCAGAATTAAAGTGTAGCTACATGTAAAACACATACATGATTTTAGTTAGCCATATTGAGCTGACTGCATGATGAGGAGGGCTTTCAACTGAAAGTAAACAAATTAAACTCACGTTTCTTCTGATCCTTGTTGGCGATATCTTCTACGACTTTTAGTTTTGTATTTTGGTGCAGCCATTCTTAAGGACCATTTCTCCAGGCAATTAATTCGAAATCCTGGGTGATGTAACACACAAGTAGGTGGTGTTTCGACATCTTGGAGCACTTCATCTGAACACAGTGCCTTGGTGCATCTGTCTATTTCCTGGCAACATTGAGCCTCGTACACATTCTGCAGCAAACTTGTGTCACAGTTGTTACACTTGCACCTAAATGAATATTTAAAACAAAATAAAAATACTTAATTTACGTAATTAATCCTGTCGACGTGTGTAGCAAAATTACATATCGAATTGTAAAATTAGGCTTACCAGTCACTTGTTGGAATTGTCCCGTCTAAACATTCCTTGAGGGTTTCAAATCGAATCCTATCAGTCTCTCTTTCTTCTTCGTACTTCTCGACCCAATCATCATCCGCTATAGGCTCATCCTCGTATGGAACAGTCACTGCCCCAACGCTATTGATAGTGTTGTCTGGCATGTCTGCTTGGCCTTGAGTTGACGGCGAGGTTGACGGCCCTTCGTCTTGCTCTGAAGGCGAGTCAAATTCTTCCACTTCGAGCTCATAGTCCTCAACTACATCCGAATCTGAGTCATATGATGTCGAATTGTCGTCTGAGTAAGATTCAGAAGCAGACATATCCAAAAACAACAGAATTTACAGATTTGTTGTAGCCTTCCTCGTTCGGCGTAGTTCAAAAACGAGCGGAACAACATGTGTGTGAAATATGAGGTTCCCGATTTGACGTCATTGCCTGCTGTTCGTACTCAGACTCTTTTCTCCCGGCCCGGTTTCAAAAAACCCTATTTTTCGACATGTTTGAGGTAAAATAAATCTGGAAGTACTTATCCGTCTTAAAAAAGGTATATATCATTCGAATTGTCTCGACACGGCCGATTTTTGGGGAAAAAATGGTAATTTTGACATATGCACTTTAAACAAAGTAACAGAGTACAAAAGTAGCTATAGTATATTAAATTTTTACCATTGATTGAAAATCAAAACAACACATGCTAAGCACTTTTGCAACATTTTATCAAATTAAAATAAAATTACATTTGGTACTATATGCACATATAAAAGGATGAAACCATATAGAAATTATTACAAGCAGTGGATTCCAAATGTGGTATGCCTCAAACAAATAGTGAAAGACATGTGATGTCTCCCCATAATTTTATTCCTCTGCCTCTGTACAACTGAAACATTTTCATTATTGTTAGTAATTTTATTTTGTACAGGCTATATCACAATCATTGTCCACAGAGAAAGATAATAGATCAACACCTGGTCTAGAACAATTAGGCCATTATTTAGAGCTGTTAATTACATTATTTTAGTCGCAGTAAGACATTCAAAGTTGTTTTTGATCAATCTATACATTAGGGCCATTTATACGAGCGAAAATAAATCGCGGCCTAAATAAACTTATAAACCCAGCCCTTCGTAGAGCTAGTCCAAAATAAGCCTCGGCTAATTTAAGTCGCGGCGACCACATCCTAAATTAAACATTGGTGTTCAGCATCAATTTAGACTGCAAAAACTGTCTTGGCGGCCGGGACTTGCGACAGCGAATTTCAGTGTTTGCATGCGATGATTGCGATCAACTTGCGATCAATAATTTAAACAATACCCCATATAATTTAAGCCGCGGCTTATTTTAGCTCAAAATAAACGGCTTATTTTAGCTCGAAATAAACGGCCCTATTGCTTACCTCTATATTGAACACAAAATTGACAAATATGTTCTTTACTTTGATGTAAATCAGCCGTATGGAAGGGCCTATTTACAAAATTTTCTTTCGATATTTAGCAGCATATGGGTGAAATATGAAAAATTGACGCTCCCCCTCATTCCGTAAAAAACCCCCCCCCGGAAATCTGTGACAGACAGAAGGACAGACAAAATATCGAGATTTCGACTATATATACGTGCAAGAATAGTGTGCTGCCGCGCTGGTGCACGGCAGCAAAAATGAGTTACAGTAAAGAGTACCAAAAGAAATATACAGTACATTTGAAACTTAATTGTACTCACCATAAGTCTCAATTTGTCAACAAGGGAATCTTTGAATGATATCTGTGCACCAGGTGCTGCTCCCGGGGTTGGTTTTACTGCACAAATACTGTTTAGTTTGTTTAGACATTGTTTGATTAAATATGACCAAGGCATACCCTCAACAACCATTGAGAGTTGATGTATAAATGCATCTCCTACTGCAAATTTGTCCATTAGGAACAAAATAGCTTCTACCTTGCACTTTCCATCAATTGACAATTGGTCGTATTGATTATTTTTTGCCTTAGGCAGTGCAGTTGGTGTTGAGGATGTCGAAGGGTTTAGCGTTATGTGCGGTATGGGGTCTGCTGTTGGTAGTGGTTCTGGGGAAATTGGAGATGTGGCCTTTGAGGAAGGTGTTGTATTCCAACCATATTTCTGGCCATTGCTGTCAAGAAACTCCACTCTATCTAGCTCAAGCCCAAAGTGCTTTGCAAACCATAATGCTTTTTCAGCCCTTGTCCCAAGTGCTTGCAGTCGCCTCTTTGCTGTCGCTTTGACAAGTCGCCAATATTCTAAATAACAGGTGAACAGTTGTCGTCAGTTTCCTTCTCTAACCTTCTCGCATATTTTTTCATTTCGTCATTCTTATTCACAATTTCTGAAATTTCCAAATCTTTCTGAGCTTTCATTTCATTGAATAAAAGTTCCTTCTCTTTCTCTAAGTTGTGGTACTCTTTCTTCCATTCCTCCAACTCAACGTTTAAATTGTCCAAGCGTTCTTGTATCTCCTGCAGTGCCACTTTTGAGCGTTTGATTTCTTGTTCCATTTCAGCTGCTGTAGCGAATTCACTCACTAAAATGCTCACTTTAGACATACTGTTTAGAAATGTCACACGTTTCGCCTTTGAACCTTTTAAGTTAAGTTGCTTAACCTGTTTGCTTACTTTCAAACATTGATACCTTAGCCGGTCTTCAACTCTTAAAGATGCGCGTTTGATTTTAATTGATCCATTGGGGATGATTTCGTTTAGAAAATCCACAAACTTCTTGTGCTCAGATTTCGAGTTGTACCACTGCAACAAGACGCTATTGTGAATACCCATGCAGTACATAACCTGATCGTCCGATATTGCTTGTTTAGTGACATATGATAACTTATTCCATGGCGGGTTGGCGTTTATAAGTAATTCAAGAGTCTCTGAAGAAACATTTGCATCAGACATTTACAAGCCTGTTGGTTTGGTCTATATGTTACAGAAAAATAAATCGAACTTCTACGGATGTTGAAATATATTGCGTTTGATGTTATGAATATTGCGCGAAATTTAAATATGGCGCGTAATCAATATTTATAATTTCAGCCATACACGTCAATATTCACGAATATATAACGTTGTTGCTTGGATACTATAAGGCCTGGTCACAGGGCTCTTACTTTTCGGAGTCTTCGACACCCTCAACAACAATATGGAGGGATATTCGAGGAAGAAAGAACGGTTTCTTCGTTTGTTTATGTTCGCCATTTCGGCAAGCTCTAGCGTGTAGTATCAAATTTCATTGCCAGAATGTATCGAAATGTCTGTGGAACTATTCTAAAAACCAAACCAGGCGTTAATCGCCGAGATGAGAGATGCAAAATAGCTTGAAACATAGTGCATTGGCAAGCCAAAGGAGATGCAACATGTTGTGTTTGTCTCCCAAAATGGAACAAAAATGGAATTCTTTGAGACCTCCTTGGGGTATTTTGCCTATTGCGCTATATGTTATAATTCACCTTCAATGGTAGCGAAATATCGCGATACCGAATGAAATTTGTATATTGCTATATTACAGATTTCGCTTTAGATACGAGTTATCCCCAAGATCTAACTATATCAGATTTAACATCTTATGTTTTGTGAATAAAATATGATATATGACGCTTTTCTTGGTAACTCCCGTACAAATATATAATAATACGTTTGCCATTTTGGTTTACAAATATGTTTAAGTCCCGGTGCCTAACGCGCATGCGTGTCCACAATTTCTTGCCATGAATTATTTTGTTGTCAGTCTTTCCAAAATTATTTGAATTCATTAGTAGAAATAGCGCATTTGCTGCAGCCTTCTAATCACTTGGTCGTGACTTTTTACTCCGCCTGCGTATGCGCAGCGGAGTCTTAAAATGCCATGGTCTTTTTTCCTTTTCGTCGTAGTTTTGGGCGACAGAAGTTGGCATTTCTATAGGTAACTCAAAACATTTTGACCGAGAAGCCCTGGGTTACACGGATTAATTATGTACATCAGTTGGCATTTAGGGAGGTTTTGGGGTGATTTTGTGCAATGTTTATTTTTCTTCGTGTCCTTGTGCCTCGTGTTTGAATCGACGTTCTTCACTTGTGAAAAATTTAAAAATATGAATGTCGAATTGAAAGAGCTTTCAGAACCATGTTCAACAACTACAAAGGTAAGTTGTTAAGATTTAGATTGTATTCATATGCTGTGGCGGTAAAAATGTTTAGTCACATTTGAATACCAAGTCACATTTGAATGCCAACTTAACTTTGAATGCCAACAATGAAGTTACAATGAATAAAGTCATATTAATTAATGAAGTTACATCAGTAAACAAAGTTAAGCAACTGAATGAAGTTACATCATTAAATAAAGTTACATCAATGAATAAAGATGCATCAATGAATAATTTCATATTAATGAATACAAAATGTATAACAAAAAATCCCAAAAGTATGACAGACAACAGTATGACATCCAACAGTACAAAAAGCAAAATCACCGCATTTTGTGACCTTTTGTCATCTTCTGTAGTTTCCTCACCTGGAGGCAGAGTAACGCCTTGAGCAGGCGTCTTGTTAACTTTATTTTGACGAACAGTTGGAGGTTTACGCTTCATGTTCATTCTGCATACCTATTTATATCATAAAAATATGTATATTGAGTCACACAAATATTTGTAAATATTTCATAAAAATACACTTTATTGTAAGCTCACCTCTCTTTACTTGCTGTGGCTGATATAGGATCGGGATTTTCCTTTGTAAGCCCGACACATGAAAAAATCACCACGACGGCACGCTTCAACCCACTGCATATGTTTCTCTGCATTTCATTTTGGGCAGGGAAAGTGAAAAAACTAAACCAGATATTCTGCAGATTCCTTTGCATGCGGTCTAGATAATATCTATAATTTTTGCATGTACCCCAAGCGCATCTTTTGGTAACAACCATCCTAATTTACATACAGCGCAATGTTCTAGATCCACACGCTTGTATGGACTTTTGCACTTTGTTTATAAAAAATACCACACATGCTTTTTATCGACCAAAAGGCGTATTAGTA